AGTCCCAGATCTGTAGATTTGGAAATGTCGAAACTGCTGCAGCAGGGGGTTTTAAGTTTTCATGATAGGAGGCTGGGGTCTTGTTCAGTAGGAAGGGAGCTGTTTACTTATCTAGATCTTATTTTACTTCTTTAGTCTTGCCGTAGTCTGTCTTCTAAACCAGATTTTGGTTACTCTGAAGTTTCAAGTGTTAAGTTGAAGTTATCTTTTTGAAAATTCTGCCTCTTTATTAGAAGAGATAAGTTTCTTTGCTTGCTAAAGAGACATGGTTTATCTGGGAAGAGCAGTAAGTTACAGGCTATTCTGTTGCAGGCTAAACAGCAAGCTCTGCCAATTCAAGGAGTCTGGGACATGCGTGGAAAGCAATTCTACACTGGTGTGGAAATCCGGGTTTGGGCCATTGCCTGTTTTGCTCCACAACGAACAGTCAGAGAAGATGCATTAAGGTATTTGTGACTTTAGTTATAATTTTCTTCGATAAGTTCCTCATATTTGCAAAAGTTCCAATGGTATTTATTCTATGTCACCAGGCTGTTCACCCAGAATCTTCAAAAGATAAGTAATGATGCTGGGATGCCAATTATTGGACAACCTTGTTTCTGTAAGTATGCCTCGTATCTTTCAAAGTTCTTTCAATTTCCATTTTTTTAAAAATCTAATCAAGATTTTTATGTTTACTATTGTAGGCAAGTATGCTACCGGGCCAGATCAGGTAGAGCCTATGTTCAGATACTTGAAAACTACTTTCCAAGCCCTTCAGCTGGTTGTGGTTGTATTACCAGGAAAAACACCTGTTTATGGTAAGAAACTTTTTTGTGTTTCTTTTATTCTGATTGCTTAGGTACTTCAAGTGATAAGGATTCCCCATGAGCTTGATTTCAATTCATTTTCCATGTTTATTTCACAGCTGAAGTAAAAAGAGTGGGTGACACAGTTATGGGTATGGCAACTCAATGTGTTCAAGCCAAGAATGTGAACAAAACATCCCCCCAAACATTGTCAAACTTGTGTCTCAAGATTAATGTGAAGCTGGGTGGCATCAATAGCATTCTAGTGCCAAGCATTAGACCTAAAGTGTTTAATGAGCCTGTCATATTCCTTGGCTCAGATGTCACTCATCCGCCAGCTGGCGACAATAAAAAACCATCCATTGCAGCAGTTGTTGGATCAATGGATGCCCACCCAAGCAGGTAAATAAACCAACATTATCCAGCTTTTTGCTCATTTTACTTTTGTTTATCATGAATCTGTGTGACACGTCTCTTTTTAGGTATGCTGCTACTGTTCGAGTACAACAGCATCGCCAGGAAATTATTCAAGAGCTGAGTTCCATGGTGCGGGAGCTTCTTGTTATGTTCTATAAGAGTACTGGTGGTTATAAACCACATCGTATCATTCTGTACCGAGACGGTGTATCAGAAGGTCAATTCCTAGCAGTACTCCAACATGAACTGACAGCTATTAGAGAGGCTTGTATAAAATTAGAAGGAGATTACAAACCGGGTATTACCTTTATTGTTGTTCAGAAAAGACATCACACAAGGTATTGTATAAATTTATGTCTCACATCAGCCACAACAACAGACTTGCACTTAAAGTAACTCATTGTCATTGGTTGTTGATAGATTGTTCTGCTCTGACAAAAAAGAGCAATCTGGGAAATCTGGCAACATTCCAGCTGGAACAACTGTGGATGTTGGTATCACTCATCCTACTGAGTTTGATTTTTACCTGTGCAGTCACCAAGGCATCCAAGTAAGTTCTAAGATCTTAAAGTCCATAATTTGTGGTCTCAATTTTTTTTCTCTCTATTTTGAGTTATTTTCATACTCTAATACTAGCAGTATTAAAATTTTAAGTACACTTTTTTGAATTGTGACATATTTCTACAATTTTCAGGGCACAAGCCGTCCAAGTCATTACCATGTCTTGTGGGACGATAATCACTTTGACTCTGACGAACTTCAGTGCTTAACGTACCAGTTATGCCACACATACGTTAGATGCACACGCTCTGTTTCCATTCCTGCCCCTGCCTACTATGCCCACCTTGTTGCCTTCCGTGCACGGTATCACTTGGTTGAGAAAGAACATGACAGGTAAGCCCTATTCAAAATTGTCTTTCTCAATGGATATCCAATTTGAATTTATATTTAAGCTGGTTACTCATCTGTGGTTTTTTATATATTTTATTACAGTGGAGAAGGCTCCCATCAATCAGGTTGCAGTGAAGATAGAACGCCAGGTGCAATGGCTAGAGCCATTACAGTGCATGCTGACACGAAGAAGGTCATGTACTTCGCGTAATTGTTCTGTGTTAATTTTAGGATTTCTTACCTTATTGACTAATATCAGCAGATGACTTCATCACTCTCCTCTGATGTTAAATCTTTTCTTCCCAAAGTCACGCAGAGAACCTATATTGAAATCATTATTGTACATAATTTCCCATTTTATTCATTAACTCATTTATTGGCTAAGCCACAAGGGTGAAACTACATTGTACCATATCGGTCTAGGGTTCACAGTGACTGAAGGAATGTTATGCTACTATCCAAATGTTTGTATACATAATTATTTTCTTCCTTTTTGTGCTGATTTGTTGAATGCACAATTTATATTCAGTGATTGGAATTTGCTTCTAAATACAAGAAATGAAGAGTTTTGTTAGTCTGTCTTCAAGATAGGCTGGTGGAATTAATAATCGACTATGCTAATTCATTAAATAGTTCCATCTGTGAGCTATTCTTTCATTACCTTCAATGTGTACCTTAGCCTTTCTTTGTGTTCTGGTAAATTTACCTTTGTAAATGTCTCCTGACTTTCAATCACAAATATTTATAGTATATATTTCATGTAAGAACTACTTTATGTATTTTGTGGAGGTACAATATAAGTTCTGTAACACCTTCCAGGTTTTGTTGGCCACTAGTAATTACTTGTAATTAAGAAAGTATGGGATATATCATGCTGATTTGGATGCCGTACCTTATGAAGATGAACTGTACTGATTAAAATGGTGTATTTTTTTTTTTAGTATCTACTAAGAAAACGAGGCATCAACATTTTAGTAAGTTTCAATGTGAAAGGGCAAGTAATCTTAAGCTATGTTTCAGTTGAAAGAAATCATTAATTTTACTGCTAGACATAAAAATGGAATCTTTTCTTTGATAGATGTGTATATATTTGATAGATATGCTACTTAGTTTATGTTAACAGTAGCTGTATGCTGTGCCACAAATCGCTGTATGTGGATTTCTGCATCAAATCCATGGGATTTTTTTCATGTGTGTTTGTGGTCTCCACAGAGTTTATTTGCTTCTAATCATGTTTGACTCTCATTTATTAGAAGGGATATAGAACCCTTATAGATTTTTATCAAATTGGACCTCGTAATCAATCAAAGGTACCGTATTTACTTAAACTCATGAGCCACTTTTTCCTGTTTTATGTCCATTGGTGAATCAATGCAGCATCTCTATTCAAGCTGTGGCTTGATTTTTGCGCGGACAAGATTCTTGTAATGCAGTTACCAGTATTTGACTTTTATTTATTTTTTATGAATGCTTCAGTTAACCAATAAATCACTTCACGTTTTCATTTCTTTTTTTTTCTTTTTTTTTTCCTTTTTTTGTAAAGATTTAAAATTTGTCTTTGTAGTTGTTTTTTCTATATCATTTTTATGTGTTCTAGTTTGACCTCTGTCAAGCTTTTGCAATGTCTCGCGTCCAACGATTTTTATTCTTTTTAATTTGCCTTGTTAAATCTCTTGAGTTCATTCCAACTTAGCAATATTTAATTAGGTTTTTTTTTGTTTTTGTTTGTTTTGTTGTACGAAAGACAACCTCTAAATTTTTTTGAGATATGGTGTCTCATGCATCAAAGCACAGCCACGTCACTCATGTTGCCTTGATTGTACCTGACTCGCTTGCCGTCTGTTGTCATCATGTAAAGAACCAGATCTCATAACTCATAAGGTTCGCATAGATCAAATTCCAAGATCTTACCTCAGGAATTTTTGAGTAAATACGGTATGTGTGTATTCTGATGCCTATTTAAGAATTGTCAACCTGTTGGTGTGAAACTTTGTGGTCTATTGGATGGTCTCTTTCTCTTTCTCAAGTACCTTGAACTAGTCTAAGACAAACAATGGTGAGCGCAATAGTTTTAGTTGTGAACTCAAGCTTTAAGTTAAACTGACAAATAAACTTGATACAGTACATGTTCCACTGTAGCTTCAACCTATCCATGAGTATAATCCGATATTACTTTCCCATTTTTGTTTGTTATTCCACACTAGATATAGCTGTCCTTTTTGAAATCCATTTTGTATATATATGCATTTTTATCTGGTGTTTTTTATGCCACAGTCCACCGTGATGTGCAATTCTTAAGAATTTTCATAAATTGTTATGCAGTGTGGTTTGAGGCAACATGTAGAGTTGCAACTGAGTAAAGTTTATGCCGTTGAGACATAATAAAACAACTAAGCTACTGGGTGCATGTAGTTACTCAAAACTGATGGTTTTTTTTTAAGAAACAAAAAAATTTAATGGTCACCTTAGGATGGTTGTCCATCAATTCCTTTGCTGAGATGCCGTATTAACCGTTCGGGTTAGATATACATAAGTATTTTCATTGACTCAGTCTTACAACTAGTTTATGAATTGCCAAGTCCAAAATCTCTTTAAACCTTAACACCTACGACCGATCCCCTATTGTTTGGGTACTAGGATTTTTTAGTACCATTCTGGGAAGTGGGTGTAGAGTTTTTTTTAAACAAATTGTTTTAGATAAGTGTGCATTTTGTTGATGATACATATTAGGACGAATAATCAAGGTATGTCTTTTGTTACTAGAATTTGCTATTATTTGAGAAATTTTAGTTTGCTGGATTGTGGTTGATGTCAGCTCATTTTGCCTTCTATAAGTAACTTAAACTTTGCTTCAAACTTTTCCTATCTGTTTGCTGTTTCCTTTATTTTTGGCACCTAGAATGTGTGTTAGAAGGTAAGCAAAGTTAACTGAAGTCTTGTGTGAAATATAAATAATTTGGTATGGGGCCAAAAGATGCATCCAAAAGCCATTACGATTTTCAATAGATTGTTGTTTTTTTATTTGTTGTTAATTATTAAAGATGCTAACTTCATGACAGATTTTACTTTATGTGTTCAATAGAGCCATTGTATTAGAATAATAAAACAACCTATCACCATGAAAACTGGGGAATTATGTTTTCCTTCACATAATTGTAAATTGATAGACAAAAATTTTTTGGTGGAAGATGTTGAGCTCTATTGCTTAAAACAAAGATAAGATACAAAATATACCAGTAATACTGAAAATGAAACCATGTAATCAGTCAGTTCATCATTAATAAGTAGGTAGATAGATACATTGTGATACATAGAGCTCATAAAGTAATACACATTTTCATCAACAAACACAGAACATTGTTAAAGGAACGTTTCAATATCATTAAATACCCCGCTACACTTCATAGCAAAAATGAGTAAATAATAAAAAAGTTATCTATTAAATTGAGAAATGTAACAGTCTCCAGGAAATGTTACAGAATGGTAGGAGAGTGAGGTGGATTACAACACAAATTGTCTCTGTGCATGTAAACTGTTAAAAATGGAGCTTTTAACTTCTATTCATACGATTTCCCCAGCCTGTTCGGTGTGAGTCCTTGTAGTCATCCCAGTTTCTCTGCTGGGCTAGCATTTCCGGATCATCTGCCTCAACTTTCTTTTCTTTCTCAACTTCCTCTTCCTCCTTCTGTTTGGCTTTTATGTCATCATTGGCTATATTTTGCAAAGACTGATCTTGTGAGCTTGGTGGTTGCCATCTGTAAGGGAATATTTTTCATGGACTTTATCTTTAAAAGAAAGTTGGAATAGATAATACATGTTTCCTGTGCTGGAAACTTGATATAAACTTACATTCCATCTCGCAACCGCTGTTCATAAAATTCTTGAACTGTGAGAGTTGGAAGAGATGGATACCCAGCACCAAAAACTCTTTTTTGAACCTCATCTTTAGTGATAATCACCGGCATCAAAGGACGTCTTGGAGTTAATTTAGGTCTTTTTTCTCGTTCAAGCTCATCTTCAGATTTTCCTAGGGCTTCTTGCTTCTTCAGCTAATAAGAAAAAGAAATGAAACACTTATTCTATTTGAATTACACACTGAAACAAAATAAGTAAGGTATAGCATCAGTAAGAACCTTCGCCCGATGCGCTAAGAGAGGTTTCTCCGAGTCCAGACATTCTAACTCATCTAATGCTTGACTTGCATAAGATTTGCACATAGTTAGAAAATAGTTACGCTTGATATCTTCATCAACACTTTCTGAATCCATAGCTTTGCGTAAGGTCTGGAGCTTTGATTCAAGTTCCTTTTGCTGCTTGAACCTTGAAATCCAGGACAACAATATAAATACAGTGCAGATAGTCTTTATAAACATAATACGGAAGTACCAAGGCAAGAACAAGTTTTGTTACTCACCTCTCAATTTTAGCATGACGTTGTCTTGCCATAGCAGCAATGTCCATACCTCGATTAGTATGCATAGCGTTGACCATATCAGTGGCCGAATCTTCATCGGGAATTTCCACAGCTGGGGGAATTTCAATATCTGCTACACCATAATCCTTAACTCTTTGTAAAAAGTCACGGAAGTACACTTCAGCTGTAGTAATCACTTCTAAACGGTCAGCTACACACAATTTTAAAGACAATGTTCCTAGCAATGCTGGCAATAAAAAATATTTTATATTGCTGGTAGGCACCTCTTCAACACTTTCATTTGATGAAAAAAGGCCGCCCAAAGAAACTAGCCTCGTTGCATCTTCAAACAGGTGCATGCTTCTTTTGATTTCAGCCTGTTGAAACAAGAAGATTGAAAATTAAAACACAGTACTTAATAATAATTTGTTATTTTATGTGTTATTTTACACATCAAACATGCCGTCAGTAACACTTCAAATATTTTGTTTCTTCCGCAGGCAATCAGACAAAGGGAAGAGAGACCATATAAAATACAATCATTGTCAAAATTTGGAGTGACATAAATTATTTTAGTAGCGAGATGAGATAGCGCAACTAACAAAATTAGAAATTAATATATGAGTTCTACACAAAAACAACAATCACGAGTAGGCACAAGGGTGCAGAGAGACAGCATTGATGACAATGCCTCACCTGAATGTTTGAACTATTCGTTGCTTCATCAGTCTTGGAGACTCTATTGAATAAATCCAATCCTTCGTCGAAAATGTCGGATAGTTTCCGCGTTTCATCTTCGGCCGCCATGGCCATGGCTATTTGTTTCTTTCACAACTGAAGGGCACAACTCACAGCGCAGCGACTCTGCTACTGCTCTGGCGCAACGGCTTCTGCTTCTTCTGCTACAACTTCATCATGACTTCATGACTTCGAAAAACCATTTTCCAAAACTTTGACCCGCGCCCTGTTATGTGCGAGGCTACTTACATTGTTTCTCGACTACAGAAACAGTTCATATTTTAAGCGTAGACATTTTAAAAGGTAAAATACAAAGTGCAAAATCGATGTCATTCATCAAGGAGGGAATTATTTGTTTTTGTGTTTCCCATACAAACAGTCGGAGCACAAGCAGGGCCAACATGACAGAACTAATCATTAAAAATAGAGGAAAAAACAAAACAAATACAAATCGTAATGTCTCTATGTGAAAGCGAATCTTTTCATTTCTCTTTGTTCGTTCGACAAATGAGCCGATCGATGACATATTCTGCTTTCTATTCATGACGCATTGTGCCCGCATGCGCTAATGCCGCTAAGGTTTAAAGCCGCTGCCACCCTGTTCAAAGACAACATGGACGCCCCGTTTTGAGGTTCGGACGGAACTTCGGAATCTGGTGACTTTTTCAATACTGTCGAAAAAACACAACAAACACGATGGATCTCTAACGCAGGCATTACGCAGAATTCCAGGAATTTAAAGGACACACCCACAATGTCATCCAAGAGGTAAGTCGACGTAAATGTTCGAAACCACTCTGCCGCCGTCTACCCCGCAGAGGTTCTTGGCATGTCTAATGTTCTAATTAAAGAAGCAACAACTCAATCGTGAATGTGTGTCGCTGTGACAGTGTCTCTTGGAAAATCCTTTCTTTGCTTTCAATCGGTCCTTTTTGTGGTCAGACTCAAAATCGGACTTAAAAGTGTAGTTCACTCTAACCTTGCGCTGCCACTCTCCATTGTGTCTGCGCTTCCATCAACGGCTCTCTCGGCAATAATTTTAGTATTATGCGGATGATGTTGAAATTTCGTAAGGGATAGAGTAGTTGTATTGCTTGTATACAGTTTTCAGTGCCAATGATTAGGCCAGGTGTCTATCTTCTGGAGGACCTTGAACTAGGCAGTTTAGCAACTTCAGTCTGCCTTTGTTATTGATGACTTTTTGTTCCGCTATGACTCTATGGATACTGTATGGGATAATTCCTTCAAGTGCCAAATCATTGTCATGATCTTAATCTAAACTTTCAACCGGAGTAGTGCTTATCATTGATTTCAAAGTTATCATTGTTTTGGTTCTCAAAAACCTGAAATGGTTGTCAGTCTTCTTTACCCACTTGTCTGCTGACTCCGGAACAATAGACTTGCATAATTTTTATCAATTGAGAAAACTGATAGATCTCTTCTAACAACAATAAGCTCTTTTGTGCATAGTGGCAAATTAAAGTAATTTCTCTCAATGTCAGCAACACTGACATCCTCATTGCGATTATGAGATCTTGATTTTGCAAATTCAGTGGTGCTAAATTAGCCAATTATTTTTTTTGTTTTCGTTAGTGACACTAATGACAAGCTAGAACATAACTAACTGTACAGCTGCAAATTTCAGGATACTGCACACTGGTGGTCCCCCCCTTCACTTTCTTAGCAAACTAATATCTCCGATGGCGTTCGTTGTGGTCTAGCAGCAGTGCACTCACTGAGTAACGTGCATTGCCAGCCACTTATGAAAATGTGCAAGGAGCTCTCCCTGCAGCACTTGTGCCTTTGTCATGACCAGTCATGACACTATGACTTGATGTGCATCAATTTCAACAGGGTAGGGATTGTGTCTAGCACAAATCGCGCGGATATTGCGCCCGGCCCTTTTGGTTTGGTTTTGCCCACAGGCAGGTGGTGGTCGTGGCGAGTGCCTGCTACCCTCTCACCAATAAGCTCTCACCCTAACCCGCCGGCCGGAGTGCCCAATCACCTCCCATTCCCCCCCCCCCTCCTCCTCCTCCCCCGATTCTCGCCGCGAATGTCGCGAGTGCGGTGCATTCCTGCTGGCGCGGGCCCGTACGGCCCCAGCTGCCCCCGGGCACCCGGGGGCGGGGGACCTGGTGAAGAAGGGGAGGGAAGGGGAAGTCCCCCACCCCTCTCTTCTTCTCCCTTCGGAAAGACGGGGCTGTGCGCGCGCTCGCGCGGAGCTCGCGGTTGCAGGAGGAAGGCAGAGCGAGGCAGTCCCGCGCGCGCCGCGCCCGCGCCCCGGCGCCATGGAGACGCTCGTGTTCAGCAACGGCGGCGTGTTCCAGACCGAGGTGCCGGCCATGGACTGCAGCACGTGCAAGGCCCGGCGGGAGAAGCGCCTCCAGGGCGGCAGCAGCGGCAGCGGGGGCGGCAGCGGGGGCGGCAGCGGGGGCGGCAGCCCGCCTCGCGCCAACAGGCACTCCGGCTCAGGGTGCGTGCACTTGCGTGCAGACAGGGCGGGGGCGGCGGTACCTAACTCTGCTCTTGGTGTGGGCCGTACCCTGGAGCGGGTGCGACGCGTGTGAACTCCTTTGCCCGCGCCCGCCGCGCTGGCTCGGGCCTCGGGCGGCGGCTGCGGCACTTTCATCTTTGTTGTTTCTGTGATTATTGTTGATATCCGGGTCATGACTCCGCCGCGGGCAGACACGGTAAACACTACTCGCTCGTAAACACTTAGTTGCACAGGCTGCTCACAGAGTCAAGCGACTCTCCTGGCTCCCGGTCTGCGTGTTCTTTGTGCGTCAGTATGCGACAGCATCGGCCGGCACTCCGCACCGACCGACCAGCCCCTAGACGCCCGATTCCCCCCTCCCCCGGGTGTCCCCTTCCTGAAATATTTACGGCGGTGGTGTTGTCCTCCTGCGCTGCGCCCCTCACCCTCCTCCCACATCCCGTGATGTTGGTGTTTACCCACGGTGACTCCGCCCCCCCCTTTCCCCCCTCAAGAGTGCGAAACTATCCCATCGGGCGAGAGGGGGAAAGAGGGAAAGCCCAGCTCGGCGAGGGCGAGATTCGAGAGTTCCCCTTTGCCCCCGCTCAATCCGCTGTTGAGTATGTACCCTGGAAGCTCGGTATGTTCATCACAGAGCCCCCCAACAGAGTGCGGGAGAGGAGTGGCCTGCTCCGCGGGGACTGCTCGTGCCTTTATCACAGCCCCCCCCCCCCCTTTTCCCTCTCCCTCACTTCCGGTGGTTTGGCCCCTACGATAGCCTGTGCGTTCTGTGCCATGTACCCCACCTCCAATTCCTCGACGTGTTTGAATTAAAGTTCGAAAGTCTCCCCCCTAAGCCCTAATCCCCGCCCCTTCCCAGCGCCCCCTGCTGCACCACAGCGTGTCCTGGATCTAATGTGCCTCGCGTTTCTTCTGTTGCAGCGAGCTGACGAAGCTCTCCGAGGAGAGCTTGACCCGGCAGCCCGAGGAGGTGTTCGACATAATATGCAAACTGGGAGAAGGGTAAGAAGCTGCCACCGTGCTCGCGCCGAGCAACCCCCTAGCCGCGGTTCAGCGGCGTTCCCTCTGCGCTGACGACCGAGTTGTAATGTTTTGCAAACCGCCCACAGGTCGTACGGCAGCGTGTACAAAGCCCTGCACAAGGAGTCAGGGCAGGTGCTGGCTATCAAGCAGGTGCCAGTCGACACGGACCTGCAGGAGATCATCAAGGAGATCTCCATCATGCAACAGTGCGACAGCCCTTATGTTGTGAAGTACTATGGGTCATACTTCAAGAACACTGACCTCTGGGTGGGTAACACAGCCCTTTGTTCTGCCCCCCCCCCCTCTTCCCCATCCTTATTCACCATTAACAATTTGGGGGTGCACAGCACACTAAATGTGTACAGGATTGGTCGTCAACGCAGTCGGGGCGATTGGGTTTATACCGAGTGTGAAGGCTAATACTCCCCAGTGTTGCGGTTTGCATACCCAAGAGGCTATGGCGCCTTACGGGAAGATCGGGTAGGCAAACCCGCTACACCGTGGTGTATTGCCTACAGGCGGTGTACTAGCCCGCACAGGCTCGCGCGTTGGCATCATGCCTATTATCTTTAACCAGGACGCTTTAAGAGACCAAATGCATAGGCAACCTGCACGTATGCCAGCCGGCTTGCGTACATCACTCATTCGCTCCAACGACACTAGCCACCCATCCCCCCCGCGTGCACCGAGTGTATCAGAGCGGGTTTGCTTACTCCTTGCGGCTGGGCGAACCGGTATTCTCTGATAGACATGGTGGTGCGAGTAGAGTTAGGCCCCCTCGCAGGGGGTGAGCACGGGGCATGGCGGCACGCATGCGATTGGTGACCTGTGTCGTGCTCGGGTCGGGGCCCGGTAGTGGACGTGCATGCCATGTCGTTGCTGGTGCGTCGGACATGTCAAGTGCAACGCGGTTCACCTCCCTTCGGGCGGCCCCGGGTGGAATGCTGCTTGCCGGCCCACAGCACCTGCGCGGTTGGTTTTGCCCCCTTCCTCAGTCTCTGCCCAGCTGCTTCCTCTGCCTCTCTACCGCCGCAGTTATATTTATCTGAGACTTTGGGGGGGGGGGGGGTCGCCTGCAGAGACAACTTGGGGTGGACCTGGCCTCGATGCAGCCATTGAGTCAGCTGGTTGGCTTCTTCACCCTTGCCTTCCATCTCCGCCGCTTCCCCATATTATCTACCCATAATGAGGATTGAAAATATTTCTACAACACTCATAATAGAATTAAAAATGGAAACCCTAATTTTATCTGCAGATTGTCATGGAGTATTGTGGAGCAGGTTCAGTATCAGACATTATGAGGCTGCGAAAGAAGACCCTGACTGAAGATGAAATTGCCACAATTTTATCTGACACTCTAAAAGGCCTCGAGTACCTCCATTTGAGACGGAAAATTCACAGGGACATCAAGGCTGGCAATATTCTTCTTAACACAGAAGGTCATGCAAAACTAGCAGATTTTGGTGTAGCAGGACAACTAACTGTAAGAAAAGTTTTGTTTTGAGGTATCCCTTTATTCATTTTGTCTGAAAATGACTGCCTTTTATGAAAAAAAAATTGTTTTATTTAAGGACACCATGGCCAAGAGAAATACTGTAATAGGAACACCCTTCTGGATGGCACCAGAAGTAATTCAGGAAATAGGATATGATTGTATGGCAGATATGTGGAGTTTAGGTTAGTGAGATATTTTTTCATGAATTGTACCAATGCATAATTTCTTTTGTTGATTGATAATAACCCTTTGGAATATTACAGGTATAACAGGTCTTGAAATGGCAGAAGGAAAGCCACCTTACGGTGACATTCATCCAATGCGCGCAATATTTATGATACCAACAAAACCTCCCCCATCATTCAGAAAACCAGATCAATGGTCTCCTGAATTTATCGACTTTGTGAGTCGATGTTTAGTTAAAAACCCAGAAGAAAGAGCAACAGCAAGTGAACTACTACAGCACCAGTTCATAGGTATTTAGATCTCCACAAAAAAAATTAGTAATCTCATCTATTGATAAGATTCTATTATTTTCTGTCCATTTTATCCATCTTATTGAAGGTAATGCCAAACCTCCAACAATTCTGAGCCAAATGATTGTGGAGGCAAGAGAAATCCGGGAAAACCAACGGTGCAAAAACAATGCCAAACAAAATCACATAGACAATAAATCTGTAAGTAAATTTCCTCTTCTGTGTTTGCTCTTCCCCCTACTTTCTGAATTTAATATTAACAATTATTTCAGGATGATGAAGGAATAAATAGCAAAACAATGGTAGCTGGAGACACAGGAACTCTAGTGCCCTATAGAGATGCAATTGATTCAGGAACGATGATTGAAATGGATTCGGGAACTCTAGTTCCAGGTGAATGTGGAACTATGGTGGAACTGCAATCAGATTTAGGAACAATGGTTATTAATAGTGATACTGAAGATGAGTCTACAATGAAGAGTTAGTATTTCTTTTCCAACTTTATAACCGACCAGTAAGACATTGAATTACTTCTCTAAAACATATTTCTGTTTTGATAAAGGGCATGATACTGGACCTGGAGAGTCTGGGAAGAAGTACAGGCCTCTTTTTTTAGATCATTTTGACAAAAAAGAAGCTGAAAATGTAAAATTGCAGGTTTGTAAATTGCCAAAAGCAAGATCAACAAATTTAACAATTTGTTTTTCTTTAAAAGACCAAAGAAAAAAAACGAAAGAAAAAACTATTTTGACTTACGGTTATTTATTTCATTGTCTGAATAGAATAACGGTCAACTGCCTCAATCACCATCTCATAATATGGCGACCTATGACCAGGTATCTGCTGCAACAACTGAAGTACCTGTACCTCCACAAAGGCTACAATCTTTAGATCAACAAAATCATCAGGTTTGTTCCCCAGTTTTCTTGTTACATATCTGAACAGTTAATGTGGCTGTGGTTATAACTTTGCATTGAGACAAATGAATGCATTTTTTAAAATTTCAGAATAGTGAGATTAGTGCTCCAGCTCAGTTATCTGGCGAAGAGAGACAAAGATTTCAGAGCCACCTTCAGCTTCAGCTCAATCAAATTTCAGCAGTCGGTGGGCAGCTGCACCGAGTACCTTCTGATAACCACAATCATGGACCTTGTATTAATCATCATGAAAATCAAGCTAAATTTCAACGTGCCTATGTTGATGGAGACTTTGAATTTGTGAGTCACATTTCTTGAATATGTTATATTTGTTACTTTATTAAATTCTTTTTCATTTCTGTGTGGTGGTTTTTGTGTGGACTAACAGTATTATCATAATTCCAGCTCAAGTTTCTGAGTTATGAAGAGCTACAGACGAGAATGGCAAACCTTGACTCTGAAATGGAGAGAGAGATAGATGAGCTAAGGCGGAGGTATCAGACCAAGAGGCAGCCAATTCTTGATGCTATGGACCAGAAGAGAAAAAGGCAACAAAATTTCTGATGTCATTTTCCAGTTAACTTCTGTTGTGTCCATGAGAGAGCTGTGATGTGTCATGTGAACAGACTGTGTTCGTATATTTACATATACAAATATATATATATATCTAGGAAGTGTATGGAGGAAATTGAAATTCAGTTATGTTTATGAAATGTTTCAGTTTGCCATAATTGTGAGTGAAAGTCTTCTTGTTGAGCACTGTATGACAATCCATTGTGTAGTTTGTATTGAGGCATTGGGTCTTCATCCGAAGCATCAATGTTCATTTTTCTATGCACATATTTTTCTTGTTGGTATTAGTACCTATTTATTTGTCATTTGTTTTTTAAATTTTGTTTTTGTAATGGCTAATGATCCATTAAGTCTTGGACTCCAAAAACTATTACAACATAACATAATCTATATTTGCAGAGACTTTGGTGGCTGATCACCAACCACCCCAATTAAAAATGCTTGTTGCGTGCCTTGTTTTTAAAAAAATAATAGTCAGCTACTGATGACAACACTTCTACTTCTGTGTTTTGAACTATATTCTTAGGTAAAGTTAACACCCCCTTGTATTCAGGATGATGTTCTCTCTAGTTTCTTATCTAGTGTTCTATTTAACCGATACTGCATTTAATGTGGACAAGCAACAAACCTAACTAACAGGATCTACTTGTGGTTTGCTATTTAGCAGCCCATGATATCTGCTGATCTCTTAATCTTCTTTGCACTTTTATTTATTTCTTGTTTGTTGAATTTTCCACATCACATTTACCCTGTCTGAATTTGCATTCTCAGTCTTTAGAAGCTAAAATCACAGTTTATACAATCATGTAACTTGAGTCTCAGTTTTTCAGACTTACGGTATCTTTGCGATTGCATTATTTGAGATGGCAATAGTTTGAAAGCACCCGCATGCCATGTCGTTGCTGGTGCGTCGGACATGTCAAGTGCAACGCGGTTCACCTCCCTTCGGGCGGCCCCGGGTGGAATGCTGCTTGCCGGCCC